TATATGTATATACTATATTATATCTATTATTTATTATTAGTATATATATATATATATATATATATATATATATATATATAAATATATATATCGATATCTATATATTTATATATAGAAGTTTTCATACGTATATCCGTATAATCATTACAGTTACAAGAAGGGGTCAGCATTCTGAGTGGATTAGTGGGCACAAACAATACATTTGGCACAGGCACACAGCTGGGAAAGAACGCCAATGTAGACTCCAATGTTCAACTCGGTCCCAACAATACTATGGGAGACAGGTGTGGTTAGCTTTTGTTGGTCCCAACAACACCATGGGAGACAGGTGTGGTTAGCTTTTATTGGTCCCAACAATACTACGGGAGACAGGTGTGGTTAGCTTTTGTTGGTCCCAACTATACTATGGGAGACAGGTGTGGTTAGCTTTTATTGGTCCCAACAATACTATGGGAGACAGGTGTGGTTAGCTTATGTTGGTCCCAACAATACTACGGGAGACAGGTGTGGTTAGCTTTTATTGGTCTCAACAATACTATGGGAGACAGGTGTGGTTAGCTTTTAGTGGTCCCAACAATACTATGGGAGACAGGTGTGGTTAGCTTTTATTGGTCCCAGCAATACTATGGGAGATAGGTGTGGTTAGCTTTTATAAATCCGTGTATATGTGAACTTATCATTTGCGTGGGTTGGCAGTCGAGTTTCATTCATATTAAAGCATGTGTGTACTTCTATGAGATATTGCGTAGCTATTTACTCATGCGTGACGATCTGTATACAGACTTGACAATGTGCTTGCCTCGTGCTGTTTCGGCCGAATGCCATATGCCATGAAATAGAACGTGCTTGTTAGTATTAATAGTTTAAAAGTTATATACCGTCTACTTTGTGTCTTAAAAAGAGTTTTTAACATTCTATGTTACGAAACTTGGTTTTCGATCGCAAAGAATTAGTTTCTCGCCTGCTCTGGTTTACCATATACTATGCGCTTTCGTGATTATATCGGCCTGCATCAAGGCATACATCGATACTCTCAGTACGATTCCCATAGTATTAAGGCTGCTATCTGCTTCTAGTTCACCATATACTGTGCGTCGTGTAGATTGTGTTCACCCGCATCAATACAATCCAGCAACGGTTGTGTGTACCATTCCCCCACCATTCAATGCTTATCTGCTCTCGTTTGGCCTATTGTTCGCGTGGGAGAGTTTGTGGCCGCCTGCACCCACGCACCTATCGATAGTCATGTTATTTTCCCGTCTGCGACACCTTCATCGGCCCTGGGGAGAAGTTACGTCCACCTATATCAAGCCATCGACCGGTGGTCGATACTACTATTGCTTTTTATGCAAGACCCTTCTCCTGCCCTCTATAGAGCGACCATAGTGAGAGGGACAGTGATTGGACAGGACAACGCCTTCGGCAATGATCTCAGAATCGACCGAAATGCGGCAATAGGAGACAGCAACGTGTTCGGCATCAACACGCGCGTGGGTCACGAAGCTGTTATTGGCAGTGGCGGTACATACGGCAACGATGTATGTGAGTCCCGGTTACCATGATGACCACGGGAGACTAGTGTGTTGAATATCTGTACGTTGACCGCATTTGTGTCTGTATAAAGGCAAGTGTTCCTTCCATGTCTCTCATGTCGTCCCACTGTGTGGTAACGCGCCGTGTATGTAATATAGTCTACTATGTATGGGTTTCATGCTGATTACTGAAATTCAATACGATGGGTGTGTTTTCATTTATAACTATATACTAGTAGAACCGAATAGGAAGTACCTACTTGTCAGTGCGGTCTTCAGTTTCATTGGCAATATATCGTGTTGTCCTAAATAGAATTGTTATCGCATACAGCACTGGTACCTTTATTTGTAATAGAGGTGTACGCGTCACTATCGCACCAGGGCAGAGGTATATATAATTATACATAATGCTCCCTATTCAATGTGGTATAGCTCTGTGGCTGAAGAGGTATATATAATCATAAATAATGCTCCCTGTTCAATGTGGTATAGCTCTGTGGCTGTAGAGGTATATATAATTATAAATGATG